TGACGTAGCCAGATATTGATAACTCATTCTATTTCATCAATAAGCTAACGCAGATATTCATGTAGTCAATATAGTCATATCTTAATCAACTTCATATTTTCGATTTGGAAGTTTCAAAGATTTTTATTAGCGTTCAATTAACTCTTCGACATAACGACAAGATAAAAACAAGATTGGGTATTCATGTGAGTTAGCAATGTCAGATTAATCTACAAACCCAAAATAACTTCAAGTATATTAAATATTGACTGATTACACATCTAATTTCTTAAATTGATAGAAATGATAATCGACAACAGACTTGGTCTTCAAACCAATTTGTTTTCATGCTAATTAAGTTAACGTCACATCAAATCAATCATGGCAAAACCACAAAATTTAATTAACATTAAATGTTAATTGGACAGTTAAAAAATATTTTTTAAGAATTCGCAAAGGGGCCAAGATCTTTCTGGTGTGATGGAAAGTTAAGAAATCTAATTATTAATGATATATCTCAATACTTTTGAATCTGACACAGGCATATCAGCAGAAAATGGGGTTGTGCAAAAAGGGTTAATTTTCCCGAACCACGGCATTAGCTTATACATTTTTCATGCGTCGAGGGATCGTTAACGTGCACAGCTTGTATCACACGAAGTCGATGGGTTATTGTCCAAACTGAACAACTAATCAAAGGTCAATGTGATAGTTGATATGAGCTGAGACAACCAGTTGATCGTTGATGCCAATAATCTGTCAATTTCTCCAATGAGCGTTTCACTCACTGAAAGAACCATCACCATAAAAACAAGATGTGCTCGTTTTGCAACATTACAGATAAACACATAAATGCCTGTATTGTTAAAATAACGACTGTTCTCATCATCCAATGGTCAAAAGTAGTTTATTAAAGTTTAGAAATACGGTGATCTAATGAAATAAAATAGAGTTTTATGTACGCCCTGTTCATCTCGCAACTCGTCGCTCATCACATCAGAAACAAAGTTCAAATGCTGTTATAAAAGTGAACGATCGGAAAATGAAACACGAAATCCAAAATAACAATTTGGCAATACACTGGTTGCAGCTAGTGAACTATTGATAAGTTCAAATGCAAAAGTGGACAGTCCAATAGTTATAGCATCACGAGGATCAGGGGATACTTCGATCTCCAAAAAAAGTCATCACATTCAAATAGGTACTTGTGTTTGTGGCTAATATGAATAACGAGTTAATTTCTGACTGAAACAGTAACAGTTGATTCCGATGTATCCAGTATGTGTATCAAATTGATCCAGGTTTGCCATGCATGTAATACGTTTCAACGTAATATTCAAGCAAACCTGACTGCAAAAAAAAATCAAATTATTGTTTGCGGTTATACAAGTATTCCATCTGTCAATTATTGTCAGAAGTCTTTTCAATTCGATATTTCTCATTTTCCTCTTCAAGTGTTTCAGAAACAACAGCTTGCAAAACATAACGAAAATTAAATATCATGAAAAGAAACAAAAAAGGTAAGAAATATGAAATATGAATATGATGAAATTTTAGAATTTTATTAATAAGATTCTTTAAAAGTTATTGACATAAAATAAAAACAAAATATAATTTTCTCGATTGTACCAATGTGAGCTCCAACAAATGTTGCTGAAGCAACAACTTTAAAAACACAAAAGAAAAAAAAAATATAAATATGATTAGGTTGAAATTTTAGATTCTTAACAATTTCTTGATAATAAGAAGACAACATGCTTTTCTTGATCAACGAACTTCAGCTCCAATTAACAAAATAATCGTTCTGGAACAGTAGCTTCAACTTCTTTATGAAAAGTCAATTTCAAATTATTTTCTTCTTGACATTTGTATATCAAATTCGACTGTTGGTAAAGCTGGAGTGTTTACTTCAAGATTCCGATTATCGACTTGTTTACCTCATTTAAAATGAAGATATCTCGTCCACATCCGGTTCCGGTGTTAAGATACCACGGTCATCGATGACCATTAGCTATGTTAATTGGCTAAGACAGCAAAAGAATTCAACTGAAGAGGTCAAAGAGTCGTCAGTTAAAAGCTTTCCGGATTTTTCGCGATTACATTAAGTATGCTTTGACTTTGTATCGTAATGGAAAATAGATGATCCTTTAATTAGCAACATTCGTTTTGGCAACAAACTGCATTTTACAATGTTTTGCTTGGCCGTTGTATAAAGTGTTAATCACTCGTTAACTTGTTATCTAAACTATCCTTTTCTGGTTCTGTTTATTGTATGCTTGTAGTTTGGTGGTAGGCCTACTAGTCCGTATCGTATTCGTATATTGCTAACGTATATATGTATATATATATTGTTCACGTATATTGCTAACGTATATATATATATATTGCTCACATATATTGCTAACGTATGCTAACGTATATATATATATATTGCTAACCAATAAAAGTTATGTTATCGCCTTTGTTAAGCAATGATAGCGTAACACCTCCTGGTTCTCGCTTAGTTAGTGATGGAACGTAAGTAACCATTTTCTGTCATGCACCAGCATCAAGAACACTTCTTGAAACATGAGTAAACAAATAAACGAAGGGCTGTCGTTTGAAACAGAATGAATCGAAAGGTATCAAATTCTCGAAAGAAATGAATGAAATTAATCGAAGAAAAAAGGCTAGTAACTTGATTTTAATTGTCAAAATGAATGTGTTGTAATAAAATATTATGAAATACCGTGAACGAGTGTGGGTTGAAAATCTCTTATACCTTTTGTGAGGTTTTTCAAAAATATCTATATATGTTGTTTCAGATGATTGTAAATGCCAAAGGTATCATTCTAGTGGGAATTTGTTCTCATTAATGTTGTTCTTTCAATTTTAATCTGTCTGTAAAACGATTTTGAAATATTGTCATAAAACCTTAATATATGAATGATATTAAATATCATTAAAACCATCTTACAAAATGATATGATATGAAATAAATTCGACTTTAAAGTCTCTTTGGACAAATGAGTTAACTCCTTCACAATGAGCAATTGTGAAAAAGGAAAGGAACATTCTTCGATCGAACTTCAAACCTCCATCGAACAGGTGTAACTCGGAATCTTCTTATTATTCGGATATCTATTTTGACTTTTTATATGAGTTTGTAACCAAATACAATTCTGTAGCGTAATGGAGCAAATGAGGCTTATGTCTCACTTTAGAAACGACAAACAAACTTTAAATATGTCCTTAATGTATTTTACATCCACCAAATCTCCGTTTGCCAGATTTTTACTGGGAATGTGCTACACATACGACATTCATATGACTGGGGAAATTAAACCCTGGTTTATACTTGATTATCTTCGAAGACCATTTTCCGCAATGAGTTCGCATCAATATAGTACGAAACACAAGTGGCCCTTCGACCTATAATAGTCTACATTTCTTGTTGTCCGGGTTAATTCGATTGACCGACCACCATCGTCTAATCATTTAGGTTATCAGACGAATCGGTTGGCAATAGTTTGTGAAAAAATTGAAAATTACTGTTAATCAGATAGGCTTTGTATGGATAATTATCTGTATTATGTTAACTAAAAGTCGTTAGACATGCCTCAATTATTTTCTATAAAAGAGTTACGCATATACCTGAAAGGTTTAGGTCGACGGGTCAGGTCTCACTAAGGGCAAACAAGGGTGTCCCCAATACACAAAAAAAATTAGAAAACCCATTTACAATCCTTTTAACAGTTCAATAGAGTATTACACTGGTTTAACAGTTAATTGAAGACATCGTAATTTTTTTTATGAAACTTTAAACTAAGGTGAAATTCTGGTTATTTTACTCATAAAAAAAAAAAAAAAAATTTAGCCTTATATTGCTGCCATAATTTAAAACATTTGGTATAAGTCCACAGGGCACCGTGTGATTTAGTTTAATGTTACATCTACATTTATTCATGTAATAATAATGTAAATAATCTTCAAGGGACGTCTGCTCCCCAGTATAACGTGTCAGCAATCAGACATATATAAGCTCATAGATCTGACAATGCTTATAAGCTTATGTCCTACCACTGAAAATGATTCCAAAAGTTGTCATACCATTCATTACTGTAGTATACCTCTTACAGCAACGCCGGATGAAACGCACTTTGAAGCATACAGTAATGGACCTGTCAGCAATATGATGGACCAAGTTGCTACCTCAATAATACAGCACAGACATTCACTTGACAAGGATAATAAGTTACTCCTTGGTGTTATTATTTAATGCGTAATTTGTCAATTATAATTATAATAATTGTTAATAATTGGTAGAAAGATACCAGTAAAGTCGCAATTAAAAATGTCATGTAATAAGTATAATGGATGAGTTATCAGGCTTGAAATGCCACGTTTTTTAATATCTATAAATAATTATATCAATCTCAACACGAAATAATTTTTCAATGATCAAGGAAATAAAAAGGACAGCATCTGTCCATAGAAATGAAAAAAATGTTTGCTTCTAGAATGTGAGGAATGGCGATCCGTATGGTAAATTTTTCAAATGAAGCAGTGGACGATGCATAGACATATTTGTATATGTTGTAGTATAGCTATGAATAAGAAATATTTTTTCAGGGAGAAAACAAATTACCAACAAGTGCATGAGTGCAAGTTCTATGAACTGAATGTTAGAAAGGACCATGTCACGTTTGTGTATGGGACCTAATTTTAACCTATGTAGAATACAGATTTTTTCATTAAGTTGATCTCTGCTTTAATCCGAAATTGGCTACTTGCTCCTTATTTTGATCATTTGAAGTCAAACTTTCTTGTTTTCTAAAACTAACAGATCACCTGTGGCAGGTCACTTCGTTCAAAACCTCAATATAAGATGCAGTAGGAGCGTATATTAATTTTCGGTTAAGTTGCTAAATGTATTGAATGATGATTCATCAGTTGATTACAAATTAAACTAACTTCACTAACAATCATGAAACTTTCAAGGGCATTGAAAACATTTTAAAAGTAAAAAAGAAAGGTTCTACTTACACATGAAGTCCCCCAGCAGCCATTTTTCTTGACCAAAAACTTCCAAAAGCGCAGCAGGTTGACAGATGATGAGTACCAACAAGTCGGCGATACTAAGATTCATCAAACAATAGTTGGTGGAAGTTTTCATTTCCCGTACTCGGGATACCACAAAGATAACAAGTATATTCCCAATGGATCCAACCAGAAAAACAATCACATTTAGAATGGTTACCCATATATAAATATATACCGGGGTAGTAAAAACATCAGTTTCATTAAAATAATTCAAACTTTCCGTAATATTGGACACTGCCATGCCTCTAACATCATAAAGCCGACTGCCATTAGCCACAGTGGCACGCGACAAACCAGAACTGGTATCCATCCGCTCTGTAAATAGTTCTGTAAATTGACGTCTGTAAGAAAGAAAAAGACGACGGGTTAGTTACCATGTTAATGAATATAGGATAAATATTGAGATACGTGATATTAATGGGGGAATCAACATCTGTTGAAATCTTAACGGGTTTATATGCATCATATTGATGCGACGGTAGATTGCATTTTCAGGGGTGTCTTTATCTTGATTGGATGTTATTGCAAGTTATATGTCAATGAAACCTAAGCAAACTTTAAGGTGGTGGATTTTCCAACCGCTGCAACTCAATAACTACTTTACTGCTCCACTCTAAAAGACAATTAACTTCGATGCAAGGAACCACCAAATATCCCTGAGACGTGTATAAATTTATTCGATAAAAATTATTTTATTAGGAAAACATATTTTACTGATTGGTTGGAAAGAAAAATATCAAATTTATTGTTCGTCATTGACCAATCAGATATCAGAAATTGACCCGAGTGGTGTCGCTCGAAATCCAGTCAGATGCATCTTGTACATTGATTTATTAATTAAGTTTATAACATTACCATGAATATGATATTAGATAGTTGCACGAGAATTTTGTAATTAAATACTGTTGGTTATGCAGTTACTATCACACGCTATGTAATAAATTAGAAATGTCTAGATTGAAATTGTAATCTAAATTCAAAAGATGAAATACGCCCATCCACAATGATTCAACTAAATGTCATATCATTGACTGACTTTACGGAATATAATAACATATATCTGCCCTGCTACTCCTAAAATTACTGCCTATTCTGTTGTTTTTACAATTGATAATTTTCTTTGGAAGTATATCGGACAATGAAACAGTGTTTACAAAAGATCACCTTAATACGCCAACACTGATAAAATCATGTCTTTAAATGATATCGTTTCAATCCAATAATGAACACAAGGACAAATCTGGCCCTGCCAAGTTTCCAGACATGATATACAGATGTAATATCGACTACTGTAATACCCTTGTGGGGCACAGGAGCAACGTAGTGTATCTGGTGGACCTTATATATATATATAGAAACCAACAACAAAATTCTGAAAACTTTGGATACAAAAATGGATTGGGATAAACTGATATCAGATGTGAGGCCATATATGCATGGTTAATCAATGAAACTGTTATTAAAATTCATGATGTAGCTTAACATGCAACATCGAATTAATTAATATGAAAATTGAAATTAAAATGACAATGATATATTAATGGATTATAATATCACTAACGTGGAGAAATTTAAGAAAATGATATCAAAATCTGGTATATTTTTCTAAAATACAGCGAGCAAATGGGAGATATTCAATATTCCAAATTCCACTATAGCATTAAGAAAATGTCTTTTAAATTCTTTTGAGTGAAAATTGAACAAAATATTAATTTAAAATTCCTAAAAGCAACGTTTCAATAAAACATGTATAACATTCTTGCAAACTTACTGTTCAAAAGTCATTGTGCCAACTCCAGTAAACTTTATTCCAAATATCTCTTTCAGAATTTGATTCTTTTTAATAATCGCTGACCTAATGTAGCCCACTTCTACAAGGCAATCAGTGTATCACGACATACGGCTCTCTGTAGGTTGGCTAGTAGGTAAATGACAAGTTCACATCCGCTTCCAGCTATGTAGGGTTAAAATACACCTTAGTTGAACTTTTCATAACACCTTTTTATATAATCTATTTCTACTATCGTTGGCCTCTTGTTATATTGTAACTGTACTGGATGTATGCTATTGTTTAATCCAGCCAAGTGGAACAAATAACATTTTTTTAAAGGTAATGTATGCTGTAGATTTATACCTGGTTCGATGTTACGCAAGGATGTAGTTTCCTTTTTCATTGTCACCGAAAGACACAATATTTAATGTAATAATAAAATCTTTATTGAGATCTATTTACCAAAGGTAATCTTTCCTGGAATCTACTAACTACAAATAACATATATAAAAGAATATAAGAGAAATAGTATCATATTAAAAATATTGTGTAAATATATCAGTATAGGAACAGGGCAAAATAAAAATACAAAAATACTACAAAACTATATAAATGATACAAAACAATATGAATGTATCTAGAATTGATTAAGATAGATAAAAGTAGAGTTATATAGAAAAACAATGTTACAATGAGAGAAAAACGAATCATAACCTTCTCACATTCCTTTCTATATCTCATGGGTATCTTATTCAAAAGTGTACTAAGTTTTATTGTCTCGAAGGCATTGTTATACTTGTGAATTTATCCACTTTATCTTGGCTAGACGCTCGATACTTTATTTTAACGAAAGGCCGTCTGAACGCCAAAGTTGTTGCTTTTGTGCTACATTAAAATGACTAAATCAGCGAACTATCCAAATATCTTATCCAGATCAAGAATTATCAAGATGTTCTTGTTTCAGAAAGTCTAGAAACTGTCACTGAATGTTTCGTGTACTATCTTGAAGGTTTTTTGTCGAGTGTCGTATAACTCTTGTATTATAGATAAGCGTACATATGTATCAGTGTGTCTTGCATTAATTACTTAAAGATTGTATTATCTTTAAATCAGGTATAATTCATCTATAATCACATGTTTAGTCTCTTTTGCTGCACAAACTGATAAGAAAATAAAAAAATGAAAGAAACAGCAATATCAAAAGGTGATAAAAATGAGTTTTCAAGGATCACTCAATGAAGATCAAGATCAATCAAGCCTTGGCAAGCCAAGTCAGATTACACCACACACTCGATGATATGCAACTTAAAATGTAAGAACCGTATCGGCCCTATTAAGGTGGGTTTATACAGAGCGCGAACGCGAACGCGACCGGCGCGAACGCGGCTTTTCATCAGTTCAGTCATTCAAATAGAGCGCGAACACGAACGCGGAAAACCGTCGACGGCTTTCAATGCGGATCGCCTCTTCTGTTGTTAAAATTTGGTCATATGGTCATTTTGGAATCATCTCTCCGATTCCCTTCCAAATATCTTTCTTTTTTACTGTCTCTTTGTAAGTTTTTTCAGCTTTGTCAAACAAAACTGGATTCTTTTCAACTTCTAAAATCAAAACTTCCGTTTTATCCATTGTTTGTACCCTACAAGCAAATTGGAAAAGCCATGTGCACAAGTTTCTATTTTAGGAAATGATGCAAGGGAGGTGGTACAAGCTGATTGGTTAATAGCAAGAAATCCGCCGCGACTTTCTGAAAAATTCGCTCTTGGGGCAATCTCGGCGGTCGACCGCGCGAACAAATATTTGTTCGCGTTCGCGTTCGCATTCTATTTGAACGGTCCCTCTATAAAATGATGACACCATTCCATGACGAAAAACCGCGTTCGCGTTCGCGCTCTGTATAAATGCACCTTTAGCGACAAAGCAATAGCTCGTGAAGAAATGTATTGTTCGAATGGGACAATTTTGTGGCAAATATAAATTATGACAGTCGAATAGCTATAGTCGTCTGCTAGAATTCGTATGTCAGTGCTTCCGAAGTCGACAAAGTTGGCTATCAACCATCATTGTCTTCCTGCTCGTCATCGTCACACATCAGCGTTCTGGACATTGATGGTATTTATAGATAAAGATAAGTGATACCGACTTGTTTGACTATACATGGGAGATAACTCGGAATAAATATAATTAGATTTTTGTTCTCTTGTAGATTTATATCGAACCAATTGCAAAACTGAGCTATTTACCAAATGAATGTGTTATTTTGTAATTATGACGATAATGTGTGGAAATATTGTTAGTATCTACAAATTACCAAAAAGACAATAAAATCAATGTGGGTTCTGAAATAGAAAGTTATGCCCTGTTGACAATCTGAGTAGCATGATAGGGTTGAAAGGTTCTGACTTGCTTTTCTCTGATTCTTCTTCAAATCAATAACAGTAAAATCAAGCTGTTTCGTTACGGAATCGTTAAACACAATACCCTGTTCATCTAAGAATGCAAGTGATTTCCATCTGAATGAAACCAGACGATACCAGACGAACCTGATTGGAATATATCGAGACCAAATGCCGTTTGTTACACAAATCTTACTTCCGGTGAAGTAGTATACATTCCAATGTAAATTGTTTGAATTCTTGTTAATCCAGACCCTGGAACAGATATTGCACGTAATCTTGTTAGTGATGACATGATGTTCCAATTCGTTTAGTATGAATGGTGAATCTGACATCAACTTGTATAGTCCTGTAGTTCTACAATCTGACATCATACGCTTATGTCCAAAACATGCCTTATTCATATCAAGAGCCCATAGCCAATCATTTTCCAGCTATACTTCAAAACACCTGGCTGCAGAATCCGAGCCTAAACACAAACATTCGTCATAACAAAAAATATACTAAGAACGTTTGGCATAATTTAGAGTGGTGCTTAAAGCATTAAAATGATAAGACATGTCACGACGTAGACTATAATTACAACCACTAGAATTATTCACTGTCATTAGTCACTTGACTTCATCTTACTTTAAGTGAAAAGTTTCAAAGAAGTCCCTCAATTATTATCTAAGCTATGTAACTAAGTGGCATTGGCGTAAAGAATGTTACCGAACGGTTTCCATCTCGTGATGCATTACAGTGATTACACAATCATGGAAATAGAGGATTTTAACTGAATACGATGCAATTGGTATACGAAAAGGTTACTACAGCTTAGATAAGGCATTTCCGAGTCGACTTAACAAAACATTTTGGCACTGTTTATGACCAATTTGCGGGGAGGTAATAATGTTTTTAGGGCATGACTATCAACGGCTGAAAATATCAGTTCTAATTATTGACCAATATGAATTTGAATCAATATTTGTTCGAGATCGGATCAGATCATTACCGAGAGCCAACGACCATAAGATGTGAATCTGATAAAATGTTGTTAGCACTGCTGATAACGCTTTCTGACGATTCTTTACA